CGCCTGTCCGAGCGACAGGCGATGACGTCACGCGCGCGAGAGGCGGCGTCTGTCCCTTGTCAGTTCTCCGCGCTCTCGTCGAATCCACTGCACCGTCTGCCCTCGCTCGACACGTCTGCCTACTGACCCGCCGATGTATACCGCGAGCATGAGCGGGCTGCCCACGTGGGAGGCGTTGCGGTGATGGATCGCGGTCTGCCTCGCTCTCCGCCTCCACCGCACAACATTCCTGTCCTTCATCCCGCCTCCATCCTCAGTCCTCTCCCTCCCCACACCTGCCGCCATGCTGCCGGCGCTGCTGCTCTCCCCGACGCTCCTTCTCCCCCTCCTCGCCGTCCTTGGCCCCGCCCCGGCGCGGGCGGGCGATGTGCAGTTCGGCGGAGGGTGCAACCCGGACCACCAGAAGCTGCAGGAGGGCACGTTCCAGTTCCAGACGGACTGCGACGCCATGACGTTCTGCTTCAGCGGCAACTCGACGTGTGCCCACCGCGGCTGCCGCCAGGACGAGTTTCCGTTCGGCTACTCGAAGACCGAGAAGCTCCCCGACCGCTGCCCGAAGGGCCAGTTCTGCCCGGACGAGCAGGACCTGTGCCAGCCGCTGCTTGCTGTTGGCAGTGCGTGTCAGTTCAACCGCGATGGTGAGTGCCATGTGCTAGATGTGCGATTGTGGAGGAATACCGATGCCCGACGGAAGATGAGTGCGAGGGACCGCCGAACTCCAAGGAGCTCGAGGACACGACTGGGTTCGGACTAAACTCCAACGGGTCTGTGTGTCTGAACAACATCTGCATGTACGTCTTCTCTTCGCGACGATCCGTCTGGTCCGTTCTAACTTCATTCTTCAGGTGGGCAAACGTCACCGTCGGCCTCCCTTGTATCGTGCAAAACACCGCCTACACCGCGTACGGCCCTGACGGCGAGTTCATCGACATTGTATCAAGGCAAGTGCTCCCCTCGTTCTGTTGTACTACGGACAAGTCGCTGCATCAATCCCGTCCCACGCCCGCAAATATCCGCGAGTAAACTGGGAACAAGGGACGTACATCGCTACAGCATTCGTCTCAGCGCTACGGGAGACCGCCGTCCGCGCCCGGGTCCCTTGCGATCAATAGCGCGTTCGAGCCCACTGCTCGGCACAGCGACTTGTCCGCGGGCTTACAGTTTGCAACAAAGCTGACCTTTCTGCAGGGGTAACTGCAAAGTAGGGCTCTACTGCGACGCTCAGCAGCTGGTTTGCGTCCAGGGCAAGGCGGTGGGGGACACGTGCGATGCCGACAAAGAGTGCTTGTCGTACAACTGCTTGGCATCCGGCACCTGCGGCGATAGGGCCGACACCCCGCGCGAGGTCGCCAAGTGGGTCTATGTCGTGGTCGCTATATGCATCTTCGGAGGTACGTGGGCGAGATGCGAGGGGTGGCGCGGTTGCTCACAGTGGCCGCTCTAGGCATCATTGGGACTCTCATCGGGCTCTACTTCATCCACCGGAAGGACCGTGACCAAGAGCGCGAAAAGCGCATGCAGTACTGGCGCGAGCAGGTACGGCTGTCCCTTCCCCTCTGATCAGAGCGTACTGCTGACACGTCGGTGCACACAGAACGCCTTCCGTCAAAACATCATGCAGATGCAGGAAACGGCGCGGAATTCGCTGATGAACTTTGACACGCCGGGGACGAGCCCGCGGAGCACGATGTACGGGCGCGACCAGCAGACGGAGGACTCGCAGGCGCCGATGCTGCACCAGGCGAGCAAGTCGAGCGCGCTGCGGTACTACGTCTCGGACGACGGCTCGCAGATCGACGACCGGTCAGACGAGGACCTGATGATGCGCCGCCGCGACCCGCAGCCCCACCAGGGCGACCGGTTCTGATTCGGTCGGCGCCCCCGTCTGTGGTGATCATGCTCTCTTCTAGACACTCCTATTTACGAATGCATAGCGGGCTGCATCGGACTTCATCGCTTCGTACGCACATTCGCCCCACCCCACGAAACGACGCTCGGACACGCTTCGTACGCGTGCGCCTTGCAATCCCCCTCCCACAACTGTAGCGTACGGTTCAGTAATATGACTGGTGCTACGCCCCTCTGGGTTTTCAACCTCGCAGTCGTCCCCTCGTTTGTTGGCAGTGTATAGCAATAATATACCACATGCTTGTATATACATACGATCCCCGCGGGCACCACTGGATGGGAAGCTAGAGGAGATGCTGGTAAGCTTGCGGCCACTGCTTTTATCGCTCGCTCGCTGCTTTGAAGTTGTCACCATCACATGGCAAGTAAATAGTTCGTCAATCTTAACAAGTACGCAGTCTCCGTAGTGCCTACTATCAAACTTACCGTAGCGGCTCCCGTGAAGTTATACGGCTTTACGACTTCAAGTCCGTGCGGTGGTGCGGCGTTTGTACGGTCGTCAATGACGTCGGTGCCGGCCTGTCCAGCCAGATGATGTGTTCTTGCGACGTCCGCGTCTAGCCCATCTAGAGTGTTTTCGCGATGTCGTAGTGGGAGGAGCGGGAGGATGCCATGGCGGCGGCCGGAAATAGCAACGCGGGTGTAGTGGCGCGTCATTTCCGTTGCCCATCTAGGAACAGCTCTCTCTTCCTCTCCCCTTCGCCGCCTTCCCAGGCCGCGCGCAGCCCTCCGCCCCGCCCGCTATACTCGCCACCCACCACGACGTCCACGACGCCCACGACACCTACATCGACGGCTGGCACCCGGCATCCGACGCCCGAGCCGCACGCATACATTCTTCGTCTCACCCATCTAATAGACTGCACCTGGACCGCGCACAGCGCAGCACCGCTCCGGAAGCTGCACCCTCGAGAGCAGGCAGCACACCTACACACACACCCCACGTCGTCTGGATTCCGGAATGTCGACGACGCCAGAACCACTACCGTCCCTTCCGCCTTCGCCCTCGCCTTCGCATACGGACGACGTTGCGCAAGCGTGGCATGATGACCCGGAGGACGAGCCGTCGAGCTCTCGGTCGGAAGCACATCTAAACCCTGCAAGCACAACACGGAAGGGGAAGCAGAGGGCACTTTCTGGGGAACGGGGGAAGAATGCAGGCGAAACTGACGAAGAGGAGGACGAGGAGGTGAGCGACGGCGCGGCGGGATACCCGCCCACACAAGACGAGAAAGCCGAGTCTCGGAGAATAGAAGAGGTGCATTTTATCTTGCAGGACCCTACAAAGGACACCTGCCGCATTACAGAAGGACAGTGCTAACACCCCAGTCAGAACTTGCGACGCTGGGAAGTCGCAGAGCGGCAGCGGCGGAAAGCCGCACGCGACTCCGTCGCCTCCACGTCCGGCGGGAGCACCGCGCCCTCGCTCCTCGCCGGCCTCTTCCGGCGCGACTCCCGCAAAGCGTCCCTCGGCGGCGTCGGCGCGCACCACGCCCTGCGCACCGACGACCGCGACGCGGACCCGAACGCTCTCCCCCTCACCGACATGAACACGCCCACGGGCGACGCCTTCGCGCCCTCTGCCCCACCCACCCCGGAGCCCGAGACGCTCTCGCTCGCGGAGAACCCGTTCGACACGCCTGCGGCGTCGCGGACGTCGCTGAACATCCCCGCACAGTCTGCGCTTATGACTGAGTCCGAGAGCGGTCCTGGGGACTTTGCGAACGCGGATGCGCCCCGGGCGCGCACGAAAGGCGCAGCGACACTAGAGGCGTCTTCGTCGTTCCGCAGGCAGAAGAAACAGAAGCTGCCCCCGCCCCCTCCGCAGCCGCTGGACTTGCCGGCGCCGCGCGAGGTCCCGCCGCACACGGGTGAACACCCAGGACCAATCCCCCCACTGCAGCCTGTGCCGCCGGAGCCGGAACCGGAGCCTGCACCTGTAGACCCGGGTCCGCCCGTACGGTGGTGGCATGAGTGGTTGTGTGGGTGCGGAGAGGCGGCGGATCGGGGAGGAGACCACCAGGTGCGTGTATCTCTATATTAGAGCGCACATAAAACTAACGCTGGGACGATATTGCAGGCGGGGCGTACGAACCCCTTCGAGTGACCGTGGTGCTGTTCGCTCCTACACACTTATTCGTAGCCTTTCTTGTCTGCACATTTTGTCTGGACCTTTTCATCGGCGGTTGTTTTGACGTACTGGACTCTTGTGGCATAATGTAGCATGGATGTTGCACTCCTGACGCTCGGCGCTCGGCTAGCGCGAAGACACCCAGACACCCAGTAATGATGTGTCGCAGTTGGATACAATCCTTTTTCAATGCGTTTGATTTACCACTGAACTCAAGCCGGCATATGTCTTTCAAATGTCGCTAATCTCTACTACTAATCAGTCGTCTGCAGCACGCTCAGACAAGTCCAGGATGCACGGTATGTATATCGTCGATGTTACGTGTACGATACCCACTGACAACACTGGACTAGCGTGGCTATTTTGGATGTGACACTTGTGCTTTGTGCTCTCCGTCGTCGCTTCGTCGTCCCTACGAGACTGCCTATCAACGTCGAAGGCCAGCGTCTCACTCCACTCCATACGCTTGACGTTAGGTTCACCCGCCGCTAGCGTAGCATGGTCCACGGAAGGCGCCGGGACCTCGTCCTACCGTGCTCTACCTATCCTGTACGCTTTCATCTCTATCAGGGATGAACTGGTCGACCGTCAGCATCAGCGCGCTGTGACGAGGCTGGCCCTGACGAGGCGACTCACCCGGGGGCTCCACCTCAATCCCCTAATAGGTGACGGTGACAGACCGCGGCAGTACGCTGCTCGTACAGCCCTGCGTACGTCTCCGTGCGCTGCATATCATGGTAAGCTCGAATGCAACTTGGTTGGACATATTAAAGAGGTGCTTACGAAGTTCTGGATCAAGGATAAGGTTGTTGAGAGGTTTGTCTGCCATAACGGAGGGAAGCGAAGACCGGTGGCGGCGAGGCCGATGAGGGTACGTGTGCATGATGAGTATGGGGTGGGATGTAATTGACGGAAGCTGACGAGTCGTTCTACCTGGCGCTCCTATATAGCCCGCTGCCTGCGCCGCTTTGTGCGATGCATGGACCCCCCTGGGGTCTCCGTCCGGGTAGTCACAGGGGCTATCTGCCCGCGGCCGGGACCCACTTCACATTCGCCGTACTGGTGGCATTGATGTACAATGCCCTGTCCTTTGACGACCTGAAGTAAGTCAAGACGTGGCCACGACAGTGCCTGGGCCACAATGCATATTCGCCCAATTTTTTTTCTTTCCCTCGGGTCCGATCCTTAGCCGAGAGCGGGAGCGGGCCCACGTCAGTGCCAGTGAGCCACTCGTTATTGTCTGCGACTTCTCCCTGACATCTCGCTCTCATTAGGACCCCGCTTTCGCGCACATCCTTGGATGATATCCGCACTCGCGACGGTGCGCGTCGCTGGCTTCATCGTGCCGAATGTGGCGCTCTCGGTGAGCAGGTTGCGATATCTCGCGCCTCCTCGAGACTTCTAAAGGGCTACGTGTATCAAGAACCCCTCTTAATACGCTCGGCCCAAGCAACTCGCAGGAGGTGCTTGCCACGAGCGCGCACGCTTGCTTTGTGCTCAGAAAAAGGGACCGGTGCGTCACACTCCTGCCAGGGCCTATTGAACGCCGAATCGCGCCCCATGTCACATCCGACTCGCCATTGGACGGGCGTGCAAAGGCTGTGCACAATGCCTAACGTCGTAGCTGCTGGTTCTATGGCTGGCTTTGAGCATATTACTACTCGGCTCCGAGATCCATGCTCAGAGGCGAGCTTCGTTTTAGCCAGCTCCACACGCCCAGGAGCCTCGACAATGGGACTGCGCACGCCAGCTCTCATGAAGCGCCGGGCGTCCAGCCGTATAAATATCACCGTCTGACGGCGGAAGACCTCATCACCTCCCACATCCCCACATCCATCACTGGTAAACTCAGCACGATGAGCAACACCGACCCACCTCCCTGGCGGCCCGTCGCCAATCCTACCTCTATGACAGACGAACCTCTCAATCTCCTGCTAGCCATGAATCTACTCCGCGGAGCCTTCACGACTTCCACCCGCACCCTACCGTCTCGCCTTGCTACCTCCGCGCGTGTTACGCCACGGCGGCGGACAACGCTATGAGCGTCGCGGATGGTGCGTCGCGTCTTCTTCTCGCAAGCTCGTTACTAATACGCTCGCTCGCAGAAGGGCTATCGCTCGCACTCCTGCGGTAGGGCCACAGTCCCTTCCCCCATGGCACTGTACCAGGTGAGCTCCATCTACCGCTAACCACATTGCATACCCTAACGAGATAAAGTACGCGAGCCACGCCTGCCGAGGCCTCAGGAGCACCTCCGGGCCTTCGTGACGGTCATCAATTGGAAGGGGCCAGACCCCGGCCGCGCCCTGCACGATCCCATGTCCCTTCCTAGCACGCCGCGCGGGGTGCAGAGCCATGCAGTGCCTGCGATATGCGGCCCACTCATCGCACTCGCCCCGTACCCGCCGCAAAAAGCGTAGCGACGCGCTGTCCGCGCTGAACACGGGCGCCGATCTCGTTCCCCACCGCCCCAAGACCCTCTCTCAGTAGCGGGAAGGGGCGCAAAAGAACCCTCACCAGCGGAGCCTCGCCATTCTCCGTCATCATCGCGCTACCGACGATCCAGCCGGATGGACACGAGTCGCAGCCCACTTTTTACTTGTGTCTTCGCAGACATCCAAGACAGCTCGACTCGCGCCCTACACCACCGCTGCGCTGAACCCCTATCCACGAGCCCGCCAGCGCACCATCGTCCTTCCGCAGCCCTTATCGAGGCGCCACGGCACCTTTCAAACCGCGCGCATTTTGAAAGGGAAGACCGCCAAACCGGACGGCTCATCCCCAGGCGCCTCCTGGTGACCAGCTCTGTGAAAAAGAGCAATCTCCGCTGGCCAACACTTACACCGGCACTCCAGCGCAATGCAACAGAAGGGCGCGTCTAGCGGTGACGCCTCATTCCGGTACCAGGCCACTCTTCGTGCGAAGCTCCCAACGCTTTCATCCTCGACCCGTCAGCGCGTTTTGGGAAGATAAGAAGCCAGCGGGAGGCCAGTGCAACACCGCGTTCTCCGTGCTCAAGACCCCTGTGGCGCTGCCCGTCCGAGTATTCGCCCGGCACATATTGACACGCGCGTTTCGCCCTCGATGACTCCACGCAAACCGCCATATGGGACATGGTTGCCTCCTTACTGCCTGGTGGCTGGAGGGAATCGCCAACATCGTGGAAAGATAACGCGTACGACACCCCGAGTAGCGTACGGCTACGCTACGCAACCCATCGCTCTCTTCCACGCCATCCCAAGAGGATCTAACGGGGATGTACGGTGTGGGAGAGTCGCTTCTATCCTTCGTCGCGTGAGTCTGTCGAGTTGTCCGCCCCATAACATACTCACCTCCGCACCCTCAATTTAGCTCTGCCCCCAGGACGACATATTGAATGACAACGGCGGTGCAGTGGCACATCCTCATCACAGGAGGATAACCCGGAACAGCTGCGAGGCATAGATAGTCATCAATAGTTTTGTACCCGATCGCCATAAAAATGCGAATACTTATGGGTCAGAGAAATTGGAACATGCATGGCCTCCATCTGGCCAGTTGTGGGCGCTTGTGTTACCCCTCGATTTTGATTGGCCCCTCACGTCGTTCGGCGTCGAGGACGTCTTCACTCCGAAAGTTCAAATAGTATTCCCAAATCCCGTGCTTATTCTGTTCTTGGACACCTTTTGCTTCTTCGCGCATATCGCTCGAGGCTCATGAGCGCCTTCCACGAGTACGATATCTTCGAGTCCCTTCCGAGCTCCGTCCGGGCCTGCGCTATGTACGTCAGGTTGGCGGTGTATCAAACTACGGAATGCAGTATGATTGGTATGGGCGTTTTGACAATGTGTCTAACGTGTTATGACTTGCACGGCATACTTGACAGCTACTGACTATCAATCTGTTGGTCAAAATACATATGTTAAAACCGATGGCGCCTCGGAACACGGCCCCAGTACTCACCGTGCGGCGGACTGTTGCGATTGGAATGAAGCTCGAACATTTCCAGGCACCCTGACTAGGCTTGCTACGCAGTGCACAGTGACATACCCGGAGCAGGCTTTAGTAACCGAAGTGAGAAGATACCTCCATCTCATGGTACTTTGTGATACTCATGGTATCATCGTACGCCCGCCCCACGGTCGATCTGTAACCTCGCGTCCAGCGTCCACGCATCCTGCCCGCCCCACCCTTCCATTTCGAGTCGGAACCGCCTATCCCAGACACCCAACCACCCTCCCTCGCGCCGCCTCCCTCACGCCACCCCCGTCCGGTAACTTCAAACTAGACGGAACGGAGCTACGTATGGCACCACCCGCCGCAGCGCCCATTACGCACCCGCATTGCCCCTCCGCGCCTGCCATCAATGGTCGTCGCCCCATCTCTGACGAGCGCGCACCCGGCGCGCCCAGCCCTGCGCTCTTCACAGTGCGAGGTACGCACGGTCTGGGGCCGGTGCTCACCGCGCGGGCGCTGTGCGCAATTGCACGCGCCGCGGCGCGGGAGTAACTGGCGGGCGCGCGATCAGGGTGCAGCGGGAGGGTACGGCGTTCACCGCGCGGGCGCCCAGGGACCAGTGTGCGCGATTGCACGCGCCGCGGCGCGGGAGTAGGCGGGCGGGCGCGATCAGGGTGCGGCGGGATCGCGGTGGCCCATGCGGTGTCGTCGCGGGCCCCTAGCGTGATCGTCGTGTGACAGGGCGGCGGGCGTTGCCTGAACGGTGTGCGCGGGTGTACGTTGCGGTGTAGGTAGGTAGTTTGAATGCCGGCGCGCTGAGCGCGGGATGAGCGGGCGCGCCTCAGGCCTCAACGTTTAACATATACCAGGCGCCGCTATACTACACGGGCGGCGGGCTGTGACCGGAGGCGAGGCGCAATATTCGCCGTGTTTAGGTGCGGGCGCGGACAATGGTGTGGAAGATAGGTATACCCTCCGGTGGCGGTAATCTCGGAATAGCATTGTAGACAACGAAACGAAGCGTCAATCCGCCGCCGCCGCATTCGGGCTGACGGTGATAGACCGAGGGGCGCCGTTTCTGCTTACTGCTGACGAATCGCGTCTATTACAAAACGGGGATGTTGACGCGCTGACAAGTAGGGTGGAGGTCAGATAAACGACCGACATGTGTACGATGATGCCTATGCCTATGAGCTTATGTGGCAGGCGCACAACGTACCTGATGATTCCGCCCCCAACGCGCGAATATAGCCCGTCGCTAGCACGCTCCACCATGGCCCTATATCGACACGTGGAACGTCAAAATCACGCATATGAATGGGGGAGCGGGAGCTAGCATGGCGACGGAAGCGAGGGCGGGGCGAACAAGTCAACGCCCACGCTGGGTGCTGAGGGATTGATGCCCGGTGGGTGTTCGGCATGTCGCTGACAAGATCGCAGGTGGGATACCGCCCCACCACCGGATCTTACGCTCCTGTCATATCATTGTATGACAGATACGAGGAGGTGGCGGGCAGGGAGCTCGGAGAGGCATCGCACGTCGAAGGGCGTCATCATGCACGGAATGTGCGATTGCCAGTGCGCACACAGCGTGCCCACTGCCAAGAATTGAAGCCTGGGCGGTGACAGTTAGACATTCGATAGATAGCTGAGCGGCGCCTGGATCGAACGGGACGTACCATGACGACCAACCGAACTCCGCAGGCAAATTCCCCATGATTATTGGAGAAGCCCGCCCCGAGACGAGAAGTGATGGATTAAAGGTTTAGAGTTCCTATTGTGAGCGCGACTTCGCTCGTTGCCGAAGCGCAGGAAGAGGCCTGGAGAAGCTGGAGAAGCACGAGGGGGTACGAGTCATTGGCACGGTGAACCTGTCCGACCGGCACTTTGGTTGGCCGATGCCACGGGCCCGTTTTACCAATGGGGTGCCCGTCTCGTACGTTGATCGACGCCACAGAAGAAGCACCAGCGGCTTGCCTGGATTTACCTCCGCCTCTGCGAGCGCCGTGAGTGAACGTAAGGGGGCATGCGACGGAATCGGAGGCTGGCTGCACGTCGGGTAGTCTTCTCCAGCCAGGCCCGGCAATACAAACGGTGCGAACTCGTCCCGAGCCCCGTTTGACTCGGCGCGCTGCGTGCAATATCGTTCGGAGGTGCCGCCTGCTCCCGCGCCGCGGGCTTGAATACGTAGTGAGGGCGGGCGCAGCGTGAAGACCTGAAACTGTCGGCACCGCAGCGATGAGGACAACGGTCAGCACGAGGAGCTCTGAGGAGTGTAATCGCTTGCACGGCAGCGCCGCGGGCCGCCCCGTCGCGCCAGAGTGGGTCCCATCGCCTGCCCTGCAAAGAAACGCGCGTACGCGAGACGTCCTGGATGCTTCGTGAGCCGACATGCGTGGGTACCGGTTGCGACGGCGGGGCACGCTGCAGCGCTGCGGAGGCGGGAGGGCGTCCGAATGCATCGGCATTCTATCCGTCGACAATATGCGGTACAGCCTTGGCCCGTATTGGGACGGCGGGCATGACGAGAGCGTGGAGGTGTGATTGACTGCGAGATGGATTGGGCGCGAGCCTCTGTGACGGGTGAAAACGCATGAAGGTTCATCCGCCTCGTTGGGCCGTTATCCCTGCATGCACAGCAGTTCCGTGCGCAAATGGGCGTTTGCTGTTGCAACGGTGAGTGCCGGAGGAATGATGATGCAATGGGATGATTGAACGCAGCATGAGAACGGCGACGTGACTACCGACGCTTCGCCCTCGAGGGGCGTCGTCGTGAATGAAGCTTCTGGGAAGAAACTACGAGCAAGCGGAATCAATAGTACACACAAGCATCCACCGACACGTACCGTGGTTAGATCACCAGTGAGAAAACATACCTTCTTGCGCATCCCGGCGTATTTCGTGTCCGCGCGTGGCCTGCCCGAGCTGTCGTCCGACTTGAGAGGGTCGGTTGGGCGTGTGAGGGTTGCGAGGGCGGCATGGGTCACCGGCTCTCACAACAACCGAAGGCTCTCAAACATGTCAGACGGTGGATTTGCCGTAAGGAGACGGAGGGGTCGAGCGATGATGGGCGCTGGCGCGGAGCCCGAAGTACCGGCTGAGATCGAAATCGCGGCCTGGCGGAGCCGGAAGATGACCGCGATCTCGATGCGGAATGTTGGCGTCCCTTGGCAGCCACCGTAAGCATCGCATCTCCAGTTCGCCGTCGCTCCCACCGCCTCTCAGAATAGTCAATGAGTCGTCCGTGTCCCAGCTTGCCACACTGCGGTGCTCGCATAGCGGCGCGCCCCGCCCAGATCCGCTCAGTGCGCATCGGCTCCGTGACCGCCATGTTTCGCCGCCTCGTCCTGCGCCGTAAGTATAAGTACACCCGCAGGAAGGGTGGTGTCTCCTCGCTCTCCCTCTCACATTCTTTCTTCTCTTAACCTACCCACATCCTATCCTTTTCTATCCTAAGATGTCTTCTAAGAACGTGCCCCGTCGTACCCTTCACCTCACCCACTCGCCTCTTTTCTCGACGCGGGTCCACAGCATGGACCCCCTCGACCGTGCGATGCTGTCATACGAAAAGGCAAAGGCGATCGCGTTGTCATATGGTGAGTTCATATTCGTCCTTCGCAGCGTCGTCTCAATTTCTAACTGCGGGCCCAGACATGACAATCGACGACCTGCTTAACCTCTCGCCCAAGTTCTGGCAGCTTCACAACGACCCTATTACTGTGATGGACTTCGGCACAACAACCCTTCTCAGTATACAGTACAACCTTTGCGCCGGGACCATCGCTCGCTATACTGCGCGGCGTCCCGAGCTTATTCCGCTGGTGGAAGATCTCTTGAAGTACCGGAAACAGTACGTCATCCTACCCATACTGTCTCGCTACCTTTTACTCACAATCCACATTTGTAGCGGGCAGTTCATGATGACCGAGCTGGGTCACGGTCTCGACATCGGCAACATTGAGACGACTGCGACACTGACATCGACGGGCGAGTTCATCCTCAACTCGCCAACTCCCAGCGCTGCGAAGTACGTCCTGTCCCTATACTATGCTCATCTGTCTTTTCATTCGCATTCGCTATCAGGTTCATGCCTCCTACCCTCCCTGCGGGCCAGCCATGTGTGGCCGTCGTGTTCGCGAAACTGATAGTGAACGGCGAGGACCGTGGGCACAGGCCCTTCATTGTGGCGCTCAACGACGGCAAGCAGATGTGCACCGGCGTTCAGTGCAAGTACGTCAATCTCTCTTCTCGTCCCCCAATATGCCCAGGTCCTGATCACTTTACCTCAGACTGCTACCTCCCCGTGGCGGCCCTAACCCCGTCCCACACTCCCTCACCACCTTCCGCAACGTCCGCCTCCCGCGGGGCTCTCTGCTCGGCGGCCTTGAGAAGCCCGCCGACATCCACGCGAACCTCATGAACATCGTCGAGCGCATCACCATCGGCACCATCGCGCTCTCCTGCCTCGCGCTCCCCTTCACGCAGGCCTACGCGACCATCGGCACGCTCTACTCGCTCCGCCGCCAGATCGGTAGCCCGACACAGCGCACGCCCATTCTGCAGTTCCGCACACAGCAGGCGCCGATCCTCGCAGCGGCCGCGAACGCGTTTGTCATGCAGGCGATGCAGAACTGGTCGATTAAGAACTTCTGCGATAAGCGGCTGGACGGGCGTGTGCGCCATGGCGTCGCGGCGATCTTCAAGAGCATCATGGTGCAGCACTCGCAGCAGGGCGCGCTTGGTGTGTCGGAGCGGTGTGGTGCGCAGGGTCTCTTCGCGCACAACCAGATGACGACTCTGCACGTAAGTCGTTCTCATTTCCATGCTGCGCGATCTGTAGCTGATTAATTTTGGGTGTGCAGGCCGAGATGCGCGGTATCGCCATTGCTGAGGGTGACGTCCTCGGACTTGCCGTCCGTATGTATTCGCTTCATGTCTGGCTAGTGGCCTGTCGCTGACATTCTCATCAGGACTCGTGAACGAGCTGCTCCTCGGACGCTACGAGATGCCCAAGCCCCAGAACCCCGATTCACTCCTCGCCCGCCATGAAGCCGGCATGTTCGCCGAGCTCCGCGAAGTCCTCAAGGCCGCGCCCGGTCACCGCAGCGAAGAGGTCAACCGCCTCGTCCTGCCCTACTGCCAGCCCATGATGGAGGCGATCGGACACCGCATGGCGTACGACGCGGCCGTCGAGCAGGGTGTGCGTCCCGCGCTCATCGACCTCTACGTCGCGAACGTGATGAAGCTCGACGCGGCGTGGTACGTCGAGTTCGCGGGGCTCGGGCGCGCGGCGCAGCAGGCCATGGAGACGCGCGCGATGGACGCGGTGCTGCCGATGCTGGGGGAGCTCGTGAAGGAGATGGACGTCTTCGCGTACATCAACGCCCCGCTGGTGAGCGACGAGCGCTGGGCGGCGTTCGTGGACGACATGAAGACGCATGAGGGGAACGGCCGCGTCGACCTCTTCAACCTGCCCCGCCGGCCGGTGGCGATCCAGCCCGAGATGGTGAGATCCCACCTGTGATTCTCCTCTCCGCTGGACGTGCGCCGACGCTCTCTCCCCCTCTTTGCTCCTCTCGCTCTCCGCCTCGCATCTGGCAGTACGCCGAAGTCGGCTCGCTCGTGCTCAGCTACGTGTTGTAAATCATCTACCTATTCCGTGACTCGTGCCTCTCACTGTATATCTGCCACCGGCTCGCTGTATCATACCTTCGAGCGCCCCGTTCTTTATCCACCGCTGTAGCGTAGCCCCCTCTCGCTATTCTCTGAGCCCTATAGTACATACTACTTACATTCGCTATCATCATCTTCCTTAGCTCTGCTACTATTCGTACACTAGTACATATCGCTAGTATCCTACGCATTACTACTAGTTTACGTAGCACTCCTAGGACAGTCTCTATGGCACACCTCGCGACTGAGTTCGCGCAAAATACATATGTTGTCGGCTTAGCCGCATTAAAACCTACCGACAGTGCCACACGGAGTTTGTCGCTTTCACTTCTGGATTCTAGTATGTCGCTTAGAGTTAAACTCGAGAATGTGGTGAATCCCGCTTCTTTCCCGTTTATAGGCACATTTAGGACAAGTCGGAGGCACGGACCGTGAGGCGGCCACCTATTTTGGCTGAATACTTCCCAAAACAGAATTGTATTGCGGCAGATCTATGCCACCACCGCGATAACTTGACGCAAATGCTCTGCCACCATGTTCCTTCTTCCCATAGTACATATGCTCACGCGATCCCGAGCTGCCAACTACAGACACCGAGCCTTGGACTCCCGGGCGACCTTGGAACATACCCGACTGCATGCGTGTCGGCCGTACGGCCAACCCGCGTCATTCAGCTGACGCGCTGTACAATGTCCCCCGAGTCGCCCGACATGCTCCTGTGATCATTAAATCCCACCGAGGGAATCAGCGCAGATCACCGCTCTCTAATGCCACTTTTGGCCTTCCTACCCATATGGACAGGTACCCTTTACACCTCGGGGACTGCGCCCTTAGCCCCGTGTTCCACTGCCGTGAGCGTGAGCTCGCTCGGCATCCTGTGTTTCCCGGCCGGAGGTAAGAGTTCTAACATACGCTTCGTCGTGTCTTCAACTATCGCTAACTCTTGACCAATACAGACTGTAGACCAAGGATTACTGCCCACGAATCCTAAGTACCGACTGGTAAACAACAGCCCTTACCAATCGAATGTGGTGCTGCGGCGACGTTTCATTGTCTGCGAAGAGCGATTTACGTTGACGTCAATCGGCAAAGTGGCCGGATGCACTACACACACACCCGTGACTTTGCCGGGCTCTCCATTCCCGACTCACTCGCTATATATAATGGCGCACAAGGGTAGACAACGACCAGGGCCGCCATCGACCACTCGACCAGCCAGCCACCGCCGGCTTCGTCAAAATGCTTCACGTCCTAGCGTTTTTGCCTGTCGCGTTCGCTCTGGTCCGTGCAACTCCCCCGACGGTGCTCTTGGACAAGGCCCTCGTGGTTGGCACAACGAACGACTCGGTGACCAGTTTCTTTGGCATTCCTTACGCGGAGCCGCCGTATGTTTCCAATTTCCGCGCTCGACTCTTTTTCTCCTTGCTAACCGGAGAACGCAGTGTGAACGACCTCCGACTCCGGCTCCCCAAGCCGATTGCTGCGTACCAGGGGACCATCAATGCGACGGTCCCGGCCACTCAATGCATACAGCTCGTGCCGCCGCTCCGTAGCGACCTGCCTCTGGAGATTCTTGAAGACCTGATTGCTTACATCACTGAGATCCCGGCCACGACAGCCACCGCTCAGAGCGAAGATTGTACGTGGGCTGTACGTTTGTGATGATCTTTGAAAACTCATAGAGCAGGTCTATCAATCAGCGTACAGGTGCCCGCCGGCACTAAACCTGGAGCGAACCTACCCATACTGGCGGTAAGTGGCATCATTTATCTGACTGGTCTATCATGCTCACTTGCCTCATCTCAACCTATAGTACATATATGGCGGCGGTTTCACTACTGGTTCTACTGCAGCGTGCGTGTCTATGCGACGTAGTCGCTCTATTCGTTTTCTGACATACCGGTGAACCAGGAATCCGGGGGATGTGCTCATTAGGAGATCAATTGAACTAGGCAAGCCGATTATCTTCGTGAACATGAACTACCGGTATGCCTTCGGCCATCTCAGGTGTCGTTTCGATAACTTACGGCGTTCGTTGACAGGCTTGGTCGTGAGTACCTCTGCGCGGGCACAGCACCGCTCCCAGCTGATCATATGTAGCCTTCGCGTTCCTGGGAGGCAAAGAGATCAAGGAAGCTGGCGTTGGCAACCTTGGTCTTCACGATCGTAAGAGTATACGTTGTTCTTTTGTGAACGCTCATCAACGAGACACCTTACAGAACGTCTCGCGTTGAAATGGATCCAGCAGCACATTTCCGCCTTCGGCGGCGACCCCAAGAAAGTTACAATGTGAGCACATCTCGCTGTGTCCCCGCAATTGCTGTGCACGCATACTGAAGGCTTCACCAGTAACGGCCTGAGCGCAGGTGCAATCTCGGTCGGGCTCCAAATGGTCACAAATGACGGAAACACCGAGGGGCTGTTCCGTGGCGGGATCATGCACGCCGGCTCGCCGCTGCCGACGGGCGACATTGAGGCTTTGCAGCCCGCCTATGACATTGTCGTCGAGCAAGCTGGCTGCGCAGCGGCTGCAGACACCCTCGAATGTTTGCGTCAAGTCCCTGCGGCCACTCTGCTGAACGCCGCTGCCGCTTTGCCTAACCTCTTCGACCTCCCGGTGCGCATATTTCATTTGGGGTAAGACATAGCAGAACCTTTCGCTCACGCGTTGAACTGGCAGGGACTTGCTGAGGTTTGGGCCCCGCGTGCTGACGGAGTCTTCCTACAGGCGCCGCCGCAACACCTGGTGCTGGCAGGAAGCGTAGCGAACATTCCCTTCATCACGGGTAAGCATATTTTGCGCTTCGAGGACCTGAGCTGATACTGTTTCGCAGGAGACGCTCTCGATGAGGGCACCATCTTCGCTACGGGCAGCTTCAACGTGACGTAGGTATCCCTCTCACATCCTCCAACCTTTCCAATTCTCATTCTACTTCGCCACTAGCACCGAGGCGGAATTCCGTGACTTCGTCCAGCAGGAGTTCTTCCCTGACGCGCCGGCTGACGTCCTCGCGCCCATCTTCGACCTGTACCCCAACGTCCCGGCGGAGGGATCGCCGTTTGAAACCGGAGACGCAAATGAGCTTGCGCCGGAGTTCAAGCGCAGCGCGGCCTTCCAAGGCGACGTCGTGTTCCAGGCACCGAGGCGGTTTTTCCTGGATCAGCGATCCCTGAAGCAGCCTACCTGGACGTACAGTACGTCACTCGCGCTTACAGATACACCATCATTCCGAGTTGACACGGCCGTCATGTAGCAAGCAAGCGTGGCGCAGTGAAGGGCTTGGGCTGCGTGAGTCCATGCCACCTGTCACGCACGCGGCCACATTGCTAACAAGCGTGTCGAACAGCCCCACGGGAGCGATGCCACCCCAGTCCTGACCCAAGGCAACGACCTCGCAGACTACGTGATCCAGTTCGTGACCACGCTCGACCCGAACGGCGCGTCCAACCGCACGATCCCGTGGCCGCGCTACGATCCGCTCGAGCGGAGCATGCTCACGCTGCTCCCGGGAGACACGCCGCTGGAGATTGTACCGGACACGGCACGGCTCGAGGCTATGGCTGGGCTGACCGGGCTGAGCATCGCGTTCCCCCTGTGACAGTCTCCGTGGAACATTGGGTGCGGCATGTGCTCGTCCCGGTCATACGTTATGACAGCGACGTCTGGTCCAGCGTCGCTTGAAGGACCGGGATTTGTATTGCAGGCTCTGTTATCCTCCGCCACGTTCTATTCACTCCCTCGCATAGCCTGGCCAACATACCTGTCTTACTCGTGCTCAAGCCTCGAACCTTGACATGGTGTGCATAACGCGTCCGAGTTCAGCGCTGTGTACAAACTTCCAAGCAAAGCTCGCATCGAAGTTTATGGGTGCGTCTGAAACATGTATGTGCCAATGGTATTCTTTGGACATAGAGGTGACATGGAACTGCACGGAACTTGAACTGCTCTCAAGCAAAGGTCCGAATTTTCGTACTGACTCTCTTGCCATTTTTCGGGAGTTCTCGGTCCTTATGGGGGATCCAACAGGGTCCGACGGCGCGCGCGTTACTCGTGTCCAAACCCAATCAGCTTCCTCTTCCCCGCCGGCTACCTCCTGTATAGCCTATCGATTCGCACCCCACTCCATACGGCTACTAAAATTCCTCAGTCTGCACGCCATTGTGGCCCACCGTCCCCCGACTCGGAGTTACCAGTAGCTCTCGTCTCTCAGGCCCGTCGCGAATATGGAGTCGCACGCAGTGGACATCGCCGCGCTGGTCTCCTTCATCGTCATCTTCACACTCGCCATCCGCCACGCGTTCTCGCGGAACACGCTCCCGCCGGGCCCGAAGCCTGTCCCGCTCTTCGGGAACCTATTTCAGCTCTCTCAGAAGCAGGAATGGCTGCAGTTCACGAGCTGGGGCCAGATATACGGTCTGTACCTGTCCCGATTTCTGCGCCGTGGCACACGGATAGACTGAACCACGGGTGGTGTAGGCGATGTCGTGACCATGCGTGTCTTCAACAAGCCTATCATTCTCCTCAATTCTGCGCAGGCCATCATCGACCTCCTCGAGGCGCGCTCCGCCATCTACTCGAGTCGGCCCCATCTGACCATGGCGTGCGATTTGTGCGTGCATGTATATCTTGGACTTATTGCTCTCTTTTTGACATTAAATGCAGGATGGGCTGGGGCGAGACGGTCGTGCTCATGCCCTACAACGAACGGTTCAAGAATTACCGGCGGCTCCTCAAAGTCGGCCTCGGTACGCAAGTCACACGCGAGTACTGGCCTCTCATGGAGAAGGAAATCGCGCGCGAACTTGTGCGGCTGCTCGACAGCCCCGATGCCTACGTGCAGCACTTCCGGCGGTACGACGCGCCCGCACACCCCTCTCCAGTTTCATCGTTGACCGTGTGGTTGTGGCTTGTAGAACAGCAGGAACGGTCGCGTTGAAGATCGCGTATGGATACGAGAACGAGAACGAGGAGTTTTCGCAACTCTTGAAGGATACGGAAGATGCTGTGGCTATGTTCGCGATGGCCGCGCTGCCCGGCGTTTTCCTCGTCGACACCCTTCCCTTCCGTGCGTCCCCCGCGCTGCCGTCTGGCAGCATGCTTCTAACGCGCGGCCAATAGTGCGATTCATCCCACCATGGTTCCCGGGCGCAGGCTTCAGGAAGTTGGGCATACGCACGCAGCAGCTGGTCAAGGCAATGGCCGACGCGCCCTTCGATATGGTCAAACGACAAGTGGTGGGTCTACATGCTCGAATCCCGCGTAGAAGCACGCTTAGCGCTTGCTTGTAGGATGCGGGCGCGGCCCCAAAATCGTTCACCTCGGACCTGTTGTACGAGCCCCCGGAAGAGCGTAGTAGAGACGAGGATATTAAGTGGGCCGCAACGGCGGTCTACTCCGGACAGTCCGATACCGCGCGTACCCTCCCTTTCGTGCACGCACCCCTCGACTGACCGTGTTGTGTTCATACAGACCATTGCAGCACTGTCGACCTTCATACTCTGCATGATGCTCTTTCCAGAGGTACAACGAAAGGCACAGGCTGAGGTCGACGCGGTCATTGGGGGCGACCGCCTCCCGCGCATCGCGGACCGGGACGCACTGCCGTACGTCGGCGCGGTCCTCAAGGAGGTCCTTCGCTGGCGCCCCGTCGTGCCCCTGGGTACGTTCTGCACCATCGCCGCTTGTATATGTGCTGACGCGCAGTCCCGCAGTCCCGCATTGTGTGACGCAAGATGACGTTTACCGGGACTGGCACATCCCCGCCGGTACCTCGATTATTGGGAATGTCTGGTGCGTCTCTCCGCTACCCACCCCAGTCCTAGCCTCTGACCGCCCGCCATCCGCGCGCGCACAGGGCGGCGCTACACGACCCCGCGCGGTACCCAGACCCGGACGCCTTCCGGCCAGAGCGCTTCCTCCCGCCCGAGAACGCACCGGACAGCGCGGGCTTCGCATTCGGGTTCGGGCGGCGCGTGTGCCCCGGCCAAGCTGTCGCGCAGGCGTCACTCTTCTGCACGCTGGCGTGCATCCTGGCCGTCTTCGACATCGCGATGCCTGTGGACGCGAATGGAGAGCCTGTGCGGCCGGAGATGGTGTGGTCGTCAGGGGTGACAAGGTCAGTCTTCCTGTGGAAGTACGACTTTGCGCGGAGCTGACGAAGTTGTAGCCATCCGGCGCCGTTCCAGGTGAAGATCACTGCGCGTTCGAAGGCGGCGGCCGAGCTTGTCAATAACGCAAGAGACGAGACGGTGTGAGGAGTGAAACTGTGCTGTGAGATGGTGTACTCGTGCTGTATACAAAATTACAGTGGCTTGCTCTACATGGCCGCGATGTTTGGGTCTCCCTCGGCCCAGTCACTCATGTTGTAAGCGAGTCTGAAACGTAATCACATTGTTATGGCGATCAGATACAAAAACACCGATTTCCTGTGGGAATGCAACTTTGGCAGTAGTGCACTGTATCTGCCGGTCAAATGTTGCCTTCCGAGTAGGTACTATCCCGATGAGGGTATAACGCAGTGATGCCAGGAGACGGACGCGAAAGGTCAACAACAGGGACTTACTATTCAACGAATGGGATAATTTATCCTGGGTTTCGATGAGTCGTCAGGTCGACACAAAGTCGCGATGAAGGCGTCCCGCCCTCGCAGAAGCAGAGGCGCGCCGCATACGCCTGCACCACATCACTTGATGGTGCAGACGACGCGATGATGTACGTAGGCTCCCCGAGATTGATTCTTAGGGTGATGGGGTCGTCTAGTCGCTCTCCAGCTGCTTCGATGTGCGGATCGGGATGGTGCATATAGCTGGTCGATAGGTGCCTTCGACGTAGCGGACGCGGAGCACTCGCGGGTGAATCTGCCAACTCGTAGGAATCGCTTAGTGGTGGAGACTCGAGAGTCGGGGGCGCGAGGAACGAGCGTCTCCCATGCTGAGCGACTCCCATTCGTTGCGAGGATGCTTCGACTGGGATATGGGCCGGTCAGCGCGCGGCGTGGATGCGGGAGATCATGGACGTATTGACGAACGTGAATAGGGGAGCGAAGTCCTGAGCGTGGCGCTGAGGCATTCGAGACGGGGTGTCCGGTGCGTTGGGCATCCTGTATACGACGCGGATGACGGTAGATAGATGGCGTCCTCGGAGTCTGACGCTCGCCGCACACGCCGTGAAGTTGTCTCCTGTCGTAGCACAACCGTCAGTGAAGAGTTCGCGAGGACTGACGCGCAACGTACTGCCAACGCGGCTGAACTGTGGTGGCACCGCCTGAAGCGCCTGCGAGCTCATCCTGGGCGGGGAGAGGCGCGTGTGACGCGGGGTGGGGGTGGGGGAAGGGCCAGAAAGCGCCACAGACGAGGGCGGGGCTGATGAGAGGCGGCATCGGGACTGTTGCGTATCGAGTTCGTCCTAGTCGCAGACGACAACGCATCTAGGGACGAGGCGACGAATAGGGATGCGGGGAGGATGGGATGGGATGCTGCAGGCGCCGTCCCCAAAGCGATTGCCAGTTACATCGTAGAAGCTGCAGCAGAAATGAGAAATGCAACGCGCAGCATAGTAGCGGACTGCAGACTTACGGGGCACTCCGGTCGATGCGGCAGATGCCTTGAGCGGCGTACAGCAGTGGGTCAGAGAGGTCACCAGCAGCGGACGCGGGGTTCTTGGACATGCTGGACCAGTCCACGAGTCGTATTCGGACGTAGCCTAAACGAGCTTTCGCAACGTGCATCGCCGAGCTCGCGAGGTGGATAAGGTGGATCACGAGCTGTGTGCGGAGTGTCGAACACCCGCAGTGTAGATTCATGGCTAGCAGGAGATTGAGAGGTTCGTCTGTCATAGAGTTGGGATTCGCGGCGGGCCCGCCAAGGAGGGTGTTCGGCGTTGCTCATGGTGTTGAGAGCGTGGGGATTAGAAAATCAGGGTGGTGAGGTCTTCAACCGTCAGTCCTCGATATTTATACTACGGTCGAATACACGGAGCTTCGCGGAAAGCTGGGCTGCACGGTCGCATTGTGGAGGCTCCAGGGCTTGTCCAAGTCGGCTGTCGCGGAGCTCCCCTTTCAGCATGGATCTCAAAGCCGGGCGGCAGAATGCCCGAAGAAAGCCATAGGAGCTCGCCGGAAGCCACTGCGGCGCACGGCTTTTGTTTGCCTGTGAATGGCATTGAATGTGGCCTGGAGCATTTCAGTCTCTTGCAATAGGCCAGGGCAGGAATGTTATTGCCGTACCCACCACTTGTCCAGAAAACAAAGCAAGCGAGTGCGCTGAGGCAGACACCAAGGGAGGAGCGCAGGGAGGAGCGCCTAGTAGCATCGTAGCACACCCTTCCTCCTCCGGCTCGCTCCGACGGGGCGCCCGGCGGTGTGTTGCGGGCGCTCAGTCATGTTGCTCCGCGCGCGCGACGCGTTCTAAGCTCGAGCTCACTCAGCCTCCTTTCATCATCAAGCTCGAACCACGCGAACTGGAACTCTTGCATCTCCCCATACTCATTCCCAACCTGTGAAGGATTTGGCCACCGCCGCGTCGCCAAGGCTCGGACGTTCGGATCACCCCTGAGACTTGGTCAGACTTCTTGGTCAAACCCCAACCATGTGCATCCTGTTAACCCCGTAGTATATCTCGCACTACTAGTATGCATTTCTAAAACGAATCTAGCAGATCTCGTTTGATATGACGTCCTATCGGGAAGATTCGAATATTAGCTCGATTGACAGCGCGAAGAGGCCCAAGCTTCAACGAGCGTGCGACCTCTGTCGCAAGAAGAAGAGTACGGCGCATCTTCTTTCTTGTTGCTTCCGGTGCTTATCTCTCTGCGTAGTTCGCTGTAGGTTCTGATATGTAATAGCCGCGAAAATTCTTTCACAGCGCTGTAATGTAGGCGATGGCACGGAATCGCCCAATGGCCGCTGCGCCAAGTGCACCTCTTACGGCGTAAACTGCACTTACGTAGATGTCAATGTAGGTGGAAATATCTATACGTTGGAGAAGTTGCTCACAATCTAGTAGATGCGACCCCCTACGAAGAGGTGAGCATCTGTTCAGCCAGAGCCGTGGGGTACGATCCTCCCATGGAATATCTCGAAGCACCAGTTGTTGCGGTCTTATATTTCTGCTTGCCCCTATACGGGTTCTTGCACTCATTCGGACCGGGCTGACAATTCTACAGCTATGTCGAGATTCTCGAGAGCCGACTTCAGAAGATGGAGGAACTCGTCGATAAGGTAATTGCTACTTTCACGGTCGTGCATCTATCAAATGGCTGATAAGCAGCATCTAGCTGCAACCTCGAACGCGCACATCCCCTCGAGAAGCGACCGCTACGCGTGGTATCTCGCCTCCCTCATTCCCCGACAGTACCACGCAAAGCAGCCCAGCGGTCGCTGTCGCTCCGCCTGTCTTCAACGACCCCTCTCCCGCCGATTCGGACGACCTCGACTCAAGCGATGACGAGATGGAATCGTGGAACAAGTTGTTGCACAGCTTCCGCAAAGTCTCTCTGCGCCCCGACACTCAGCGATACCATGGCAAGTCGAGCAGCATGCTCCTGCTACAGACCGCTGTCGACACGAGATTTGAGTACACGGGCGCCGGGCCACATTCGTGGGACCCAGAGCCCAGTACTGACCCTCCGCACACGGAGTTCCCGCCCATGGATTTCATGAAGGTCCTCGTTGATGCGTATTTCGAGAAGCTAAATCTGTACATCCCGTTGCTCCACCGCCCAACATTCGACAGACAGCTGAGGGAGGGCCTGCATCTAGCGGACGAGGGGTTCGGCTCGGTCGTACTACTCGTATGCGCCAACGGCGCACGGATGTCGGAGGACCCGCGCGGCGCTGACTACGGCCCGCCCGGACGGCTTGGTTGGAACTGGTTCCTGCAAGTGGAGAATGCGCGGAAGTCTATCTTTGCCCCGCCGCAGCTGACCGACTTGCAGAAATGCGTGGTACGTACATTCGATAATGTCCCAGCTACACTTGCCATTCCTGCATCGCTGAACGCTGCGCGATACAGCTCATGGCCACGTATCTAGGAGGCTACAGCTCGCCACACAATTGCTGGACGCTCATCGGCATCGGCATGCGTACCGCCCAGGACCTCGGCGTGCACAGAAGGAAGACATACGCTTCCATGCCCGGGCCCCAGGGCGAGCTGTTCAGACGGGCGTTTTGGTCAGCTGGATCAAATTACATTCGCCGTAGCTGCTGACACCTGTCTTGACATCGTTAGGTGCCTTCTGATGCTCGACCGGATACTTAGTTTCAGTCTTGGGCGCCCGTGCGCGCTACAGGACGAAGAGTAAGACCGATCCCGTGTCCTCGCGAAGCTGCTGCTCATGACATCCGCGCGTAGTTTCGACACCGACCCACTTATCGAGTGCGATGATGAGTATTGGGACACAGGCGACCCGGAGACGGACTTCAAACAACCCGCCGAGAGACCATCCAAATTGTCTTTCATGAATGCCATCAATAGGCTTTTGCAGATCATGGCTTTCGCCCTGCGAACACTGGTCAGTGATGTTCTGAAGGTGCTCTGTGAATACGACTAATGCATGCATCTTCAGTACTCGATCAACAAGTCCAAGATGCTTCTAGGATTCGTCGGCCACGAATGGGAAGAACGTATCGTCGCGGAGCTCGACTCGCTCCTCAACAAATGGATTGACACCCTCCCGGATCATCGTGAGTCATCACATCATTGACGTCTGGGTCCGCCGTTTCTAAATCGTGGCCTGCACCGCGAAGTGCGGTGGGATCCCCATCGGGAGGACCTCGTCTTCCTCAACCAGTCGTCCGTCCTATATATGAAGTACTACCAGCTGCAAATCTTCGTTCACCGTCCCTTCCTGCCGCCCTCGCGCAAGTCGTCCACACTGACGCTCCCCTCGCTTGCGATTTGCACAAACGCTGCGCGGTCGTGTATCCACGTGGGCGATGTCCAATGTCGGCGGAACGGCACTCCGCTTGCGTTCAGCCGTGTTCGTTCTGCGTACACTGTTCCCGCGGCGCTATGGCTGACGCGTCGCACAGATGCCCTTGTTTACTGCGGGAATCGTGCTCATAATCAATATGTGGGGCGGGAAGCGGGCGGGACTCGCGAATGGCTCTGCGGCGGAAGATGTGCAGAAGTGCATGGCGATGCTGAAGATGCTCGAGTCTCAGTAAGCACTGTACACACTCATTACTTCCCCGGTTTGATATCTCACCTTGGATCAGGTCGCGTGCAGCAGGCAGGCTATGGTAGGTGTGCGGTTTACCTGAACTCGGGAACGGTCACTGACTTGCTCCCAGGGATGTGCTTAAAAGCCTATACGCCGCTGGCGAGTTCAAGGGGCCGGAAGACCCTACTCCAAACCGCAAGAGGCCACGCGATAGCAATCAGCCCGAACAGGAGTTCTCTACGCAGCGGAGTTCTAGTGCAAGCGAGAAGTCTCCCGAATCGCAGCCCACAGCGTCCAAACGGGCCTCGTACTCCTCGATCCACCACCATAATCGGTCGCAAGGTGTGCCACCTCCAAGCGCGCCCTCCGCAGATAGTCCCTGGGGTGGATCGCAGGTGGGATGGTCTGGGCTCAGCTCGGACACAAGCTCGAGCTCGCCCGCGTCTTTCGAACTTCCAGTGCGCACGGTGGATCTCGAGCGGATGCCATTCGGAACTGGCTTCAGTCCCTTCTTCGACGCTCGGTTCGCGCGATCGCAGCAAACCGAGACTCCCGGTGCTTCTCAGTCCGTCTCGAACGGCATGGCGGCGCCCGAATTCGCGCAGTTCGCGAGCCCCGCAGACTTCCCCTTTGCGGTCGCGCAGCCGCCTCCTCCGACCATGGCGCCGCCTGCGAACGGGAACCAATCCACATCCGGGCTTGTGGCCTTCTTCGATCCCTTTGGGTCTATACAATTTGACGAGCCACCCGCCGTTATGTCGCAAGACCCGGCCGCCTTCCAGCTCTCTCCGCTACAGCAGCAGCCGCAAACGCAGCGGACCCAATATCACATATCCACTTTGTCGACGATGGACCCACCGGACGAGGAGTCCAACAACGGTAACGCTCCGTCGTTCCCGTCGTTCTCGGAAGACGACCTCGCGCTCGCGGACAGTACGCTCGACATGTGGTCGTCCGCGCCCACCAATCTAGAGTAAGTGTCCTTCCCTCCGGCCTAAATCGTGTAAAAAATCACTGACGTGGCTATGGTTCAAGCAGCTGGGCGGACTGGGATATGTTCGTGAACAGCGTGAGCGGCGGCGGTGCGCCGCTGGAGTGGCCGGTCAGCGAGCCTGCGGTGTTTTAAGTGAGGGTGCTGATGCATTCATGTGGGTGTCGGCGGCTTCGCTATGTGTACACTATATACTACTGACTTCCCTGGATCACTAGAGAAGGGCCTTCTTGCACTCTCTGTTAATGTATGATTATTTTTTCCCTCAGGACTCGTATTGTATGAGGTCATCAATAGGATTGGGCGTCTTTTGACACTCATGATGCGAGCGCTCAGTGCTATTCGGCGCCGGCGCTTGCAGAGGAGTCCCCTCCTCGACTCGTACTACGACGTTCTTTCTTGTTTGACAAGCGGGATCCCACTCTGGTTATTATTGGACACCTTTAGATCTTCTTTACAAGAGGAGCTCATCATAACGGCGTCGATGCGCTTGAGCAGGTTGTTAGATGAACAACTGCCGGCCGCGTTGATATCGCAAGATCGAGCTGCGAGCAGCGGCGCATGCTGCTGTATGATGTTCCAGCTAACGCGTTGACAGTTAGCATCTGCCACCCTTCCATCTGCACAGGCGTACGCCCCCTCTGCTAAGTGCGAAGTGACCCAATAACGTGAAGGGGTATTGACTTGACACATAGATGAACGCGTGCCAGTGGGCCCTATCCGGACGACTCCCCCACATCGCTTGTCCAAGCTTCAATGTGTGGGATGGTACATCACTTTGTCCATCTAATCGAACCTGTGTATGTCATTTTGGATGTGTTCCCTAACATTTGGTCCACTGCGAAGCTGATACATCGCTAGGGAGGCCCACCTGAAGATGCTTTTAACGCCTCGCCGTCGGTTGAGCAGCGTCCATCGAAGGCCCTGCATCTGCATATTCTTACCACTGCCCAGCATGCTTATTACCCTTCTATTCACGATTATTTTCGCCATGCCTGCGTGCTCTACCGGGGCGCCGTACAGCAAAGCTCATCTCAAAGATCACCGGACTCGTAGACCCACTGGTCATGCGGCCAAGGAACACATGAACCTCATTCAAAAGCGATTCGATAACACCCGCTTCACTTACTTCTATCCGGGGCAAAATGCCTGTGGGGGCTTTGATAACAACGAGAGCATGGTGAGTTCGCTGGCAAGTTCATAATCGCTCGGCTGATAAACCACGGTACAGATCGTTGCTCTAAATGAAGAAGTACGTGATATCAGGAGCTCAGTTCGTACTCATTCCTAATCCAGCCCCAAAGCAATGGGATGGTGGTTCTCATTGCCACGCCAGCATAATTGTGGAGTTCCAGGGTAAAGCTGTTCCTGCCACGATTACGGACATGGTACGTCCTGTCACCCACCTGCCAGAAGTTTAGTAAAAGAATCCTAAATACGATCGAATCCATCGACAGTGCCCGGGATGTCCCTATGGAGCACTTGACCTGATTGTTCAAGACCCTCGCCGGAAGCCTCGATGCCGGTGAGCTGTGGGGCTCGTGGAGCTTTGGCGGCAGCGGGCAGCGGCGCAGCCGCTGCATCCCCCACCAAACCGAAGAACACGTCGCCCAGCGCATCAGCATCGTCGGCACCTCCGAAGGTGCAGCAGCAGACATTGCATATCACCCCTCACCCCTCCCCTACGTCCACTTTAACCTCTCCTTCTCTCGACATCTCGCCCTCGTCTTCGCACTCGCATCCGGCCCAGGCAACGTCCAACAATGGGGTTTCCATCCGGAGCGGAGTGTCTCACGGCTCCGCCGGGACGTCTGTGAGCCCCTCCACAGCCCGCGGTACGCTCGCGCCCACGACCACGGCGACGACGACAACGACAACGACGACGGCGACGCCCTTCGCCACAGGCAACATCGAGAATTTCAACCTCGCTTTGCTCCAGCTCGTGGGGCTGGCAGACGCTATCTTTGCCGCAGACAAGTCCGAACTTTGATGACTTTCAAGGTGCACTTTCTTAGAGACAGCCAAAAGTGTAAAGCCCAATTTGTGTCAATCTTGTATCCTCTCCGAAGATCCGCAAAAGTTGTCTAATGTGATTCAGTTACAGAGCTCGGCTCATTTGCACTTTCTGGAACTTGTAGCTCGACGCGCGAGGGCATATTTCTTGTTAGAGCTTGTCAACATCTCTCTGGCCGGTGGAACTTGATGATGTCGTAGACGGACTTGCCACTTCGGTCTCGTCCGAGCGCACCGTCCCAGTTCTCAAGAGTCTTGCAAAATTTTTGTCATTGCGCACGCACCGCTCCGACCATTGGGCGCAGCTGGGCCGGCTCCTAAAATGGGTCGAGGCGTATGCCTAACAATGTCGGGTAGTGGTGACGCTTCGACCGGTCTGCGCATTAGCACCCACTTGGACCATGCATACGGCCGTGACGTTGCTCACTTTGTCGTCGCACTGGCCTTGGCGAGCGCCACTCCCGTCCGTGCAGCGTATATAAACTCGCAGTACACTCTGTTGACCCGCATCACATCTCACCATGGGCACCCCTCCCGAGTCCCCACCACGCACCCTCACTCTCATACCACAGTCGTATGGCGGACAAACCTCTCAACTCTTACTACTCAGATTTACTGGCCGGGTTAACACCGGCCAGCTGTTCCTCGCATGCCATGGAACTTGGAACGGGCATAGGTAAGTACTTCGTTGGCTGCGATCGGCCCTCTGCAGACACATGTGCTGACGCTACCCCCTAAGGCCGCACCCGATGTGCCTCGCTCAGGCCAGTTGAGGTAACAGCTCCTTGCGGGCCCTGGCACCCCACGACCCGGAGGTGAGTCTACGGCCCTGTCCCCTCGCTTCAACGTTCCCGGACTGTTTCCCTCATGCCACGGTGCTGATGTCCTTTCAGTGTGTTCAGAGTAGGCCGGCGCGGCCTGGAAATACCGTCGTGTCGAGGATCATCACCTCGCGGGAGGGGCCTTCCATCCCCAATACGCCATCACAACACGGTCGCGCTTCTCCCCCAAGACGCTATGGCAAGACCTGGATAGCAATATCCAGTACTCCCGGAGGCTCCCGCGCACTCATCACTTCCGCTCGGCACGCAGGACCGCGCGTATCTTACTCCGGCTCGGTATTCGTCACCCGTCGCCCGAACAAGCGGGCTACTTCCCCTTTCCGTCACCCCTGCCCAGGTCGACGGTCGTATTTACAACTTACGGGGGAACACCCGAGACACCGTTCGTCTTGTCGTGTCCATCGGAAGGAATGTGACGAACGGGTGTAAATACTAGGAGATCCGGGTTATAAACTTACCGTATCTCTTCTTTAAATCATCTCATCTTGACTTCGTGGTATGCCAACACTGGCAGCTCGACGTCCGATTCCGCCGTTAAGTATCCGCATCCTGATCCATTTGTTAATCTATGACGCGTACGCGGTTCACGAGAGCTCATGATAAACAAATACCACCTCTGTCAAATTGTTTAGTCGCTCTGCGTCTGGTAGTGGGACTCGCATGATCTTATTAAGCAAAGATGATATTTTGGGCCCCTCAAGACATCTCAAGTATGTTCTTGTGCTCCTTAATACGAGACGTGGCTCCGGGTGGGTAGATTACTCACATACTACACAGCATGCATTCTCGCCACTCGGAAACACGATACACACATTTGCAGCATGGGATGCGTTATGCGACAAGCCTGAGCGCGATCATACAATGCAGTGAACTTCTAGCGTGTCACATCAATGCTCGCACATATTGAATGTGTCCTCAAACACCCTCTCGTTGTGAATCACCACGAACTGCACACGCTCCTCCATCAGCGCCTCGCGATCCACCTTCGCTTGCTCCAGGGATACAGTGCCTTCCAAGACATACTCCAGGATAATGTCGACAAGCTCTTGCGGGAGTTGCTGAAAGCGGTGCGCACGATAGACTGCGTCCCGGTACCACTCGGCTTGCTGGGGTGGCACGTCGCTGGTAGAGTGGATAGAGATGGATGGATCGACGAAGAAGAACGCGAGGATTTTCCTGTGCCCAGGACGTGTGCCGTCCGCGAGCGCGAACGGTGCGACGCGGTGCTGGTATATGTTCGGGAATGCGATGCACTTGTCCTCCGCGGCGACGATGCTCCCGAGCTCCTGATTGAGCGCTTCCCCGCGCCCGAGACCGTACGCCACCGAGTAGCCTTTCGAGTCGTCCTGCTGCGCGGGGAGGGAGGTCGCGCCGGGGTACTCGCCGTCGCCGACCACAGCGCGGAACGCGAGCCGCGACTCGGTGATGTTTGCGCTGTCGTAGTAGTAGAGGCCAGTCGCGACGATCTTCTCGTTGCTCATTCCCTCGACGTGCCACGAGCCCCCGGGGTATGATGGGTTCGCGGGCGAGAGGACAATATTGGCCATCTTGATGATAACCTGCAGCGTCCGGCCTCTTAGGTTGAAGGTGGCCTTTTCCTCTGGAGGCTGTGGCTTGAAGGGCTCAGCGTCGGGTAAACTCGGCCAAAGATTAAGCTTCTCCCATGCCTGGCTTTCGGGTGTGTCTTCCCACCAAGGATACGGTTGTGGAAGGTGGTTGTACCACACACCCGGGTCGACTTCCTCGAAGGGAGATGGAGGCGGAGAGCTGAGCACGTCCGACAGGACGCGCTCGAAGAGCGGCACAAAGCGTTCTAGTACGGACGAGATGGTCGCGTACGCCGTCGAGTGTTCGTATGGGTGGAGGTTGTTGATGTAACCCTTCGGGGTCACTCGCCCGTCCCCGGAGACCGCGAAGTCAGTCGGGAGCCATTGGTGCGCGCGCGATACAGTGAACTCGTAAGGAACACGACCGATCTCGTTGGACCCCCACCAGTCCTCGGGACAGAAGTCGGAGATGTCCGATCTTCGCTGGAAGTAGTCGTCGATGCTGAGCAGACGCAGGGGATCGCTGTGGTCGTGCGCCGGGTCGATCACAAAGGAACGGCCAAGACGGAGACAGTATAGCGAGGGGTGCACGAGATCGAGGACTTGACCGTTCGAGCCGGGATGCCAGTCCTTCTGGTCGTCCGAGACGTTCTCCAGCGTTGCGGCAACTTGCTTAACGGCAGCTTTGAGAGCGGAGTCAATGAGGGTAGGAGACTCATAAACCATCGGAATGGCCGTTTGCTGTCGTAGGCGGTTAGCGACGCTGGTCTTCAAACCGCATTAGCACCTACATATATGCCTGTATCCGTGTCTCGCTGGTCAGCATGATACCTTAGCTCGTCGAAGAGGTAGCGCAGCTGAGCGTCCGTGATCGGGTCCCTGGGCCACTTCTTCTCAACTTGGCGATATTGGTTGTTGGGATCGGGGAGGAAGGTTTCGTAGAGTTGGTCCCTACCCCAGAGCTCCTCCACCATCTTTGCATCGTGCTCGACGGCCTCCCGCCTCCAGCGCGCGACGTTCTCGGGGTCGCGCACCTTATCCCACCAACGCGGTTTCTCCTTGATCTCGCGCGCAAATCGACGGATTCGTTGTTCAAGGAGCAGAATCGGATGGCGAAGGACGGGCGCAAATGGCGTCGGAAAGTGTGGGTCTGTGGGCAGTTCTGTATCTGCCATGAAGGAGGATGGCAACCTGCGATCAGATTCAGGGAAGGCCGCAACAAGTAGTGCACACTACATACCCGGCGTTGTGCGGGTAAGGGATCGTGTGCTTGCCTCATGGCATACACGATGCTACCAAACCTCCGATCTTTCACACAGCGCATCATGCCTGGTACATCATGTGAATTAGTAGGCAGCGAGGTCGGCACTACATAACTTTGTGGAATCCAGAAACCGCCTAAGAACCTTCCGCAAGCGGCCTGGCGTGAGAGTGAGTCGCGGCATGTCATAGGCGAGGGTGCCAGACTGGTGCAAGAAATGTTCGCATGATCTACTTGCACAGATGCAGATTCACAAGGCCTGGTTATTCCGTCGAGGTTGGACGCTGCTACGCGGCACGCGGTGGTAGTATACCTAGTGCTTCTGGATCTCGGTATCGCCGCCGGTCTGAGCTCAGCACACGAGGCAGGCAAGAGCAAGAATCCGATGGTATAGGGAGCCTGAGCGTGAGGATGCGGATGCAGAGCACCAATTTGGTGGGTTTCGAAAAACGACACGACCCCGAACTCAATTAAGGTTCCATGCACGGTGCCAGCGGTCCCTCTAGGCAATTGCCGTCATGTGTGCGGGCAAATCCGAGCGCGATTCCAGAGAGGAGCAGGAGAAGCTCACGCATCCTGTCTCCCTTTCCTTCGTTCCACCATGTCGTACTCCGTCTGTCTCCTCATGTGCGAACGTCAGCTGCACCAGGGCGTGGGTGCTGCGGATACGCACCTTGACGAATGATCTGTTCGAGCGACAATCGCGGTAACCGAGCCAAACCAGTGCCTGGCGGGCTCACACGCTTGCGCGGTACCGACCTTCATCACGCAGCACTACCGCCGGCCGCACCGTCCATTCATTCACCCATTCCTCCGTTCGAACGGACCTGGATCGACCGAAGACGCGGGCATCAGCGCGCAGCAGTCGCTCGTATAAAGCCTGCGCACCCACGGTCTGACGAGCCCTTGTTTTGCCCTTACTCAGTCTCGACGACTCTCTTCCCCCCACCCAACCTCAAGCTCTCACTCTCGTTTGGAAGATATGGCTGGAGGATTTGGTGACCGCCTCGCGCGCGGGGTGACCTTCTGGGGAACGGTTGGTGCGGTGATGACTGCACTGAAGCTGAAGGAGCAGCATGATAACTGTACGTTACCCATCTTCTCTGCATTGCAACTACACGTCCTGCTTGCCTGCTTCCGCTTTATGAGGTATTGACAAGGGTCACGATGTAGATTCTAGCCTGCCGGACGATGAGGAAGGCTTCAACCACGGGCCCGTCGCCCTTCAGAACCCCAACCTCGATGAGGAGGCGGCCGACGGCGCGTCGTTGCTGGACACTTCGCTGCAGAATGGCCGGCCCAAACGGCAACGCAAAGCAGACTGCTGCATGTGCTGCGGATTGCGGTACGTCGCCCGTCGTTACCGTCCTCGTTGACAGCACCGCTCACTGCGACGGACGCAGCTGCGGACTCTTCTGGAAGGCATTCGGAGTCGTCCTGCTCCTCTTCCTGGGCTACCAGGCGATCAAACTGGCGATCTGGGCGGCAAAGGTACGTCTGCTGCGCAGCACTTCCGAAGCCGGGCCGCGGACTGATCTCCACGCGCGCGCCTGTTCTGCTGTGATGGTCTACACAGCCCAAGCTCACCGGTCTGGAGGGGATGCCCGAGTTCAGCACGTCGCTGGGATGCGCAGACGCGAGGTTCTTGTACAACGGGACGAAGATGGACATCCACGTCCCTGTCGGCTCGCACAAGGATGACCACTCGCTCGACGTGCGCGGTGGCGCCCTGGGCACGATCATCCTCGCGCAGGGCTCCCCGGACCTGACCTCCGTCAGGTACGAGCTCACGCTTCGCTCAGACACGCCGTCGCTATTCAAGGATGTCGTGCTCGACTACCCTGCCCCGGACGAAATGGAGGACAACATGCGCTCCAGCCGCTTGCAGCTCAGCACGCCTGGTCTCCTTGGGCTCGGCTGCATGCGCTTCGACATGACGATCTACCTTCCGCAGAACCTCCGCACCCTCCACGTCCAGGCGCACGCCCTTTCGCAGATCAAGTTTGACGAGGACTCAAATTTCGACCTCGACAAACTCTCCGTGAGCATGTACAAGCTCGACCAGCGCTCGATGCTGCTCCCCACTGAGGGCATGCACGCGAGGACCATGAAGATGCAGATCACGCGCGGGTGGCTCGTCGGCGCTGTCACCGCGGGCGACGAGGTTACCCTCATGACGCAGACCGGCGACGCGACGTTGAACGTCCACGTGCACCCCGCGCCGTCGAGCGCGGAGCCGCCGGCCCCGGTCCGCCTGCTCACGTCGACGGGCGCGGGCCGCACGGACGTGGTGTGGGCCTCGCACGCGGCGGGCCTGTCACACCGGCCGATCGACGCGACGCACCATATGTCGATGGGCGGGGCGGCGTACCTGACGTACAAGGACTCGGGATTCAACGGCACGGTCGACCTCACCGCGAAGTCGTTCACCGCGACGGGCCTGCAGGCCGCGTTCGAGAAGGAGGGGCTGTTGCCGTACGTGGGCAGCAGGGCGGGCGTGGACCGCATGCTGGTGAAGGCGCAGGGATGGGTGGGGCTGTACTTCTGAGCTTGAGGGTTTGCGAGTGCTCTGGAACGGACTCTCTTGGGACGGCTCTCGATGCTAACTGGATCTGCGCACTGTGCTGTAACGTTACAACTACTATCATACTTAGCATACTGAATTTCACTCTCTCTCCCCGTCATCCCGTCTGTTCAGCTATCTCGGGCTCACTCTCGCACGCAGTCTCGCGCACCTGGGCAGCCGGGTCCGGGTGAGCATGTCGTTCCAGTTGCCGTGGCCGAGGATGGCACTTACTCATGACCTCGGCCTCTGTTCCTGCACTCCACCTTCTGACGTCCGCATCACTCCGCGCTCGGAACTGGAGGACCCTGCATAGCGCTCCCAAACTTTGCCCGAAAACGAAGAGTCTAGACCGGCCATGGGCAAATGTGATGGCTCTTGAACGTAAACCCTTGCACTCGTCTCATCCCACCCAGCCCACCCTTGTCTTCCCCACCCATCTACCTCGCATCGTCCACGTCCTCGACGATCGTACTCTGACATCCTGCCCATCAGCCTCCCGCGAAGTCCAGGCAGGCCAGCCTCGCGCGCACAAGCCAAGTCGACGTCGGCGCACGGCCCGGACACTCCGAGGCCCTCGGGCGCACTTCGCGTCCACTCAGACCCGGCGTGTGCACCCTCTCGCCGCTCTCGCCCAGAACCGTCGGCGGCGATCGCAGTGAACACCGACCGCCCCGCTCGAGAAGCAGGTGGACCACCGTGGACCTACAGCATCGCCCCCCGCCGATCTAAGCTGTCGGGCACCGACACACCGCGCCCCCTGTGGCACCAGATCCCCTGGGCGCCGCGCTCCAGGCGCGTCCGCAAGCGTACGCGTACGTATTTTCAATAACATCGAGAGGCGTGAGGCATCCGCGACGGCGGGGATGCCGGCCAACGCCCAGAGAGACGGCGCTCCCGAGCTGGGAGAGAAATCGGACGAGGAGTCCGCTGCGCCCGGCGCCTCGGGCGCTGGTCAGGGGAAGACGCAGAGGAGCGCGAAAGGTACGTCCAAGCCATTATGTTTGATGGTACCTGGCGTTCATGAATTCTGTGCCCTGTATTTGCTTTCATCTCTTTCTACAGCATGCGACAGGTGTCGTAAATCCAAGAGCAAGTGCGAGCCATCACCGACCGACGGTGAGCCGTGCAAATCATGCGCGGCTATCGGCGCAGGTAACTTTGACAGACTTTTTTCGGAAAACATCGTACATATCTGACGTTCTTTGTCTACTGTCTTAGAATGCGCCTACACGGGTATGCACCTATTGGACATTCTGAGCGACTCGATTATCTGACGTTTTACGACAGCACCTAGCTTTCGCAGGGGTCCGCCGAAGGGCTATATCCAGGCACTGGAACACCGATTGCACCAAGTCGAGAGCGTACTCGCAGCGATAATGACGTCTACAGATACTCGCTCACGTTCGATCGTGGATGAGCTTGGCAAGGACGAACTCGCCTCGCATATCATCGACACCGTCGACGCCGGTCCATTCGTGAGTGTTTGTATTGTCTGCACACTGTGCGCATATCTCATCAATACATTGCTCCACGTAGGGCAGGACGGGCCGCGAGAAGCGCGCATTCGACACCACCAAGGACAACTTCTTCTCGTCCATAGTCGCGGAGAAGCCGAAGGCTCAAAGCCACCGCTCCCGACGGGAGTCCCGCGCAACACGTGAGCACGTCATCGAGAACGTCATTGCTCGAGGTACGTTCTTCCAACTATGTCTTGTATGCGGGTAAGTTGATACCAACTTTGTGCAGACCCGATGATCCAAACTACACGGCCGACATTGCTGTGGCAAGACCGTTTGTCCGAACGGTTAGGGCGCTCATTTGGTAGTGGCTCATTCAGCCCTCAGCCCGTGCCCTCACCCCCATCGATCACGGAGAGTTCGAGTCGCGAAGATCCTTACACGTCGGAGCCTCCGAGGACGAAGAGACGGATCGAGGAGCGTCCGGCGAGGTCCGTGCACATGTCGGCACCGTATGTTGGCGGGAGCAGGATGCCATCACAAGAAGGTATGCTTGCAAAGGTCATACTCGCGGCGGAGTACTGACAGATGCCACAGCGCCGGAAGGTGACGAGGACTTGTTCGACTGCGCGGATGCGTTTGGGAACCTGTCCATCAACGAGAACCGGGAGGTTCGATACCACGGCAACGCCAGTGGATTGCAGTTACTGGCGCAGTCAGAACGCACCGATGGGAGGAACATCCAGGGTATCTGGTACGTTTCTTTCTTCCACCATCCCCATTTCCCGTACTTCGTGCTAATAGCGCGCTCCCCTTTTGTAGGAACTTCCCTATGGCCAGATTCTGGCCAGGACCTCCGAACGACGGGCGACAGTTCATAGACGAGTCGATCATATCCATCGAGAACAAGATACGCATGCCAGCCGTGCACATCCAAGACCGGCTTGTCCAAGTCTACTTCACGTACATAAACCCCGCCGTGCCTGTCGTTGACGAGGAGTCGTTCATGGCGCAATACCAGGCAATGTGCGTCCTAGCCCCGCCACTGCTAACATTTTATGCTGATTTTGATGCCGTTTGGGTGCAGGAAGCTCGGGTGAGTGTCCCCGTGAGCGTCGTGATAGCACTACTCTGGTGTTCACGCTTGATTTACAGCTACTCCGAGGATTCAAATCAGCCTCCTGGTCCACCATCGAGTGAAGTGCGGCCCGAGCGTCCACAGAAGATATCTAAGCTTCTCCTTTTCGCCATGTTCGCGTACGCGGCGAGCCACCTTGACCCTCTTAACATCCACGATGCCGCGGTCGACGCGGCACGTGCGGGGGACTATGCGACTGTTGCGCGGAGGATCCTGGACACTATGTACCACGAGAGCCGGTCGTCGACCGTGCAAGCGCTTATATTGCTCGGGATAAGAGAGTTTGGCATCGGTATGTCGCCAGTCAAGAAACATCATGTGCCACCTTGCTGACCTGTGGCTATGCGCGCCCTCCAGGAAGTCTAGAGGAAGGGTGGTTGCACATTGGTATGTGCCGTCTAGTTTCCACACAAGCCTATATTTAACCATTCAATCCGCAGGCATGGCCGTGCGCATGGTAGGGTTTTGTCTGCAAGCCCCACTCGCCAAGTATCTGACTTTCAGAGGATTTGTAGGCGCTAGACCTTGGGTTGAACCGCAATCCGGACAAGTGGACCCACAGCGGACGGGAGCTCTTCAGCCCGAAAGAGAAGGAGATCCGGAAGCGGATTTGGTGGGCATGCTGCCTCGCGGACAAGTAAGCACTCCCTCCCTACGACCTGTTGTAGGGACCCGATGGTAACGTAACTTTTGTGGCAGGTTCTCGGCGCTGTTCCTCGGGCGGACGATCTCTATACACGAAGGCGACTTCTCCACGCCATTATTGGATATCCCTCCGGTGCGGGGTTACGCGAACGAGGTTCGATGTAGGCTGACAGCCTTGGCAGGATGATATGGATCACATGTGGCAGCCTTGTCCCCCAGACCCACGATACGGCACAATCGCTCCCGTGCCTGCCGTACACTTTGGGTACTTGCGGCATATATCTGCTCTTTGTACGCCTTCCACAAATGCCGCGAAGGAGCCTCTTACTGATTGTCCTGTTATGTGACTATTAGACGTCATCACTGGAGAGGTCCTCGCGAAGGTATACCGCGTCTCGCGCGCGCACACTGTACCTCCTCGCGCAATTCGCCAGGAGCTATACAGTAGGTTGCTACAGTGGGCACTCGAACTACCAGAGCACCTTCAATACAACCCCACTGCGAGCTCCCGGCCGTGCCCTGCGCCGCATGTGCTGATCATGCACGTCCAGTACTGGGCAACTGTACTACTTTTGCACCGACCATTGTGAGCGTCAAACCTCAGGCTTGTTGGTCAGACTAGGGTCCATAGACTGACCCCGTTTTGTGGTTCAGTATTCCGAAGGGCACAGAGTACGTGCAGTGCATACAATTCGTCTTACATGATTGACCTCTGTGATGGAATAGGTTGGCGAGAGCTGGTTCCCCATCACTAGAGAACGACCCCATCCCATGGGAGTCGTATGACATCTGTCAGGGCGCGGCCAGTCAGCTGGCATCTTTCGGTAAGCATTTTGGCCATTGGCTCCTGCCGAATGTCACTGTGTGCTGCGTTTCAGGAATTGACGTTCTTCCCTACAGCGATGCTCTACCACGAGAAGTACGACATGCGATGGGCGCCACCGTTCGCCGCCAACTGCCTTCAAGCTGCGGGGTGAGTTGTCCATAGCTCTTATCGGTGGATTCGAAGTTCTAATGCTAGTGTGTATCGCCGTAGGATCATGCAAATAGTTACATGTGCGATAAAGTCCTGACTTTAAGCGGGAACGCGATAGCTGATAGGTTTGCACAACATAGTAAAGTACAAGCCGCTGGATACGCAAGCTAGCGTCGGCCTGCAGAAGTGCATCAGCGCCCTAGTGGGCATGGAGGTGCGCTCGTGCTCGAAGTCCACCCTCATCTCTGTTCCTCTTGTTGACCCTGGCTTCCAGGCCACATGGGCAAGTGGCCTACGCGTGCGACATCTTATCCAGGGCGCGAAGGTAAACGTCGACCGAGCGTACGAGTCATCCGCCCGCGCGTCTGATGCGCGCCAGAAACGTCCCGCGCAGGCTGCGTTCGAGCTCGATTCGGCATACGCCTCACGGTTTCCCTCTACGTCGCATACCCCGGTACCCTCCGTACCCTCCTACGCCCCACCGCCGATGCCGCCTCCCCAGCACTCCATCCCTCCACGCTTCGTACCAAGCCAACCCGCGCATTCCGAGCATCCTCAGTACGCATACCCGGGGTATCGCACCCATCCTCAAGGCAGCCCACCCCGGGACGTAGCGACACCTGCCGCGATGCCCCTCCCAGCGTACATGCCGGGGTACGACTCCTGGTGGCCTGTGGTCGACAACGAGACGGACGTTAGCGCTGGCGTCGGCCAGTGCCCCGAAGTGGCCCAGATGCACGGCGGTGGGGCTGGGACTTCCGACGGGGTCGTGCATGGGGGCGTCGCGATGCCGCAAGGTGACTTCACGTTTGACCAGCAGCACTTTTCGCCGGAGTTTCTGCAGGCGATGCGCGACCCGATGCTGCATTTCCCGTCGGCGTTCTCGCACATATACTAGTGGGGGATTGCAGGGGAGGACGTATGGGCAGAGTATGACCGTGGCTGCTTGGCGTCTGTGAGTTGGAATATCCAGGGGCGGTTGTTTATGGTTTCTCTGTTTCCTTGTCTCAGGTGTATTTTGCTTGTGTTATGTTTCCGTTCGAGATGCAGCTCGCTACGTGGCTCGAGCTTGTTCTTGTACTGTTGTGTTACCATCTTTCAGTAGCTACATACAAGGCTAGATTTACAATGTAGAGGATCATGTTTGAAATCAGTGACTGAACGAAGAGATGTGGTAAGTTTTTGATCCGGATCTTTCAGATACATTGGCGGCTAGGGGTGGCGGGAAGGAGGGGTAGTAGCCCGCTTATTTGGGCGATGGGTGGCGGCGAATACCGAATCCGAGTAAGACGCGCGCGGTCCTTCGTGCCGAGTGGAAGTGATTAGTACTTCGGGGCCTCCGGGAGTACTGGACATCACTATCCAGATCTAAACATATCTTGAGCAGCTGGGTCGCGGCGTGAGGACTCACCTCCGGGTCATGGCGTGGATGTATGTGTGCGTACTTCGGGTCCGGCGGGGCCGCCAGTGGGGACAGAGCCCGTCATGAGCTTCTACCTCAACTGGTCCGAGCGAGGCATGTCTGGCCGCACGGCCTTGGAGGGGCGGCGTCAGTACATGATGTCCGCAGAGGTGCGATCACAGGCAACTGGCACTCGAGCCAAGTACTCACCTGGGTCGGTCGCCGGTTCCATGGCATGCGAGAAACTGTTGAACGGTGTCAACCCGGCCGGTAAATGTGAGTAGTAAGAATTGAGAGGTGTTTATGCCAGACGATTGTAGTATGGAAGCGAGAGAGTATGGTGAGGACTCGAAAGGGGTACCCATGGGCCATGGTGATATGCGATGTGGGTCGACGAGTCAGACCGTGTACAATCCAGCGAGCCTAGAAAGCAGAACTAGTACTGAGATTGGCGCGTACATGCCGATGTGCGTGGACTCCGCCAGGAGGCTCGGGGGCCGTGCCCTCAGCAGGCTCCACCTACTGTCCATCTGTCGAAGACGGACGCCATTACGTATACAAGGGGCCCGGTTGCATCATCGGACCCCGTGTCAAGAGGCTGATTCTGTGGCGCGCGACAACACGCCTTTCCGTCGCTTGTGGTCCTCATGTGTAAGAAATCGAGTAAGTAATGACTTCGAAAGTCGCGAAGAATTAGCAGTTTGAAACTCCCCAAAATATGTTTACAGTTTGAAGCGGCCTCCTGCATCGAAAGAATATACCTGTTGTCGTATTTAGTTACCCTGTGGCAGCACGGCGCCACGAGTGTTAGTCCGCAGGCTGCCAATGGGCACAGCCCAGAGCCGCTCGGGGACTAAGTTTGTGTGCTCCACGCGCTAGCTCACTATATGAGAGGACGCCGTCGCCCGGCGGAGTGTTAGCTATCCTCCACTCGAGTCGAGCCTCCACATATTGTCTGCCTAAGGAGGACACCCTGCGACCTATTGTCATCCTGTTAACGTCCTCTGCATATCATGAACATCAGCTTTACCTCGAACACTCTTGTCAATTCAACGCTCATCGACAGCGCGACCGGCCAAGTCCTGTTTGAGCTCTCGGCATCCCGTGACCACTTCCGCATCCATATAACCTTGCGAGATGCGCACAACACCATGGTCGGCGAGTACAAGAAAGGCAAGATTGGCACCGAGGTCATATACCGCAGACAGACTATGCGGGTGAAGGAATGGCTCGTCAAGAAGCATTGGTATTCCAGGTACGTTGGTGTGATCCACAAGTCTGTCGAGCGTGCAGCCGCTCACTGCTCTGGGGAAATTTTCAGAACTCGGACGTTCATGGCGCATAACGGGAAGGCATACGAATGGAACAGTTCGAACCAGGTGTGCAGGGTCAGTCCATACGATAGAGCAAACGTACTCATTGCTCGCTGGACGAAATATGCGGGGGTGTGAGAACATCTGACCCACTGGGAGACAATCCTCCGCCGGAGTCCGCCAGACTGTGATGGCAGACTCACGTGAGCGATAATCAGGGAGATAACAGGAGACACCTACCTTTTGAGGCAGGTAAGTCGAGATAAACCCGTAATCAAGCGCCCTCCTACCGGGCGCTACTGAACTCATTATGAGCGGTGGAAATGCAAGTAAATAAGAATCGGAAAGATTCTGCACGCGCGCGCGAGTATATGATCCTCTAATGAACATCCATAAAGTTGAGCGCAATGCGCGCGTTGCTTGTGCGAAGTCGCGCGAGGTATACGAGGTAATTACGACCTCGCGGCGCGCGAGGTGCGACTTCGTGCGCAATGCGCGCGCGCCCCCAAGCATTGTTATCGCACACGCGTCGCTATAAAACTGCTTCAGAACCATGTATAGAGGATTATCACTCTCAAATAGAAGCTGTGCAAGTATGAGCGTGGTTATAAGATCCCTCAAGTTAATGAGATCAGTAGTAAGGTCTTACTCCTCCTATGTAAGAACCCGGCGGTTCTTACTTACTACCGGCACTCCCTAGTGCCTGGACGGGAACGTCCACTTCAGTAGGAGAAGGTGTTCTCCGGGAATCGCGGAGAACTAGCGCATCTAGGCGCCCGTAGATTAGATACCGCCATTCATGTATCGTACGTAAGCGTACGGCGCCCGAAGGTTCGGGCCTCGGGCGCCTGGTGGGGGCAGAGTTCTACCACCCCCCACCATCCAGCGAGTACGCCGAGCAATCAAGCCCGGTCCAGAGTACTTGCGGGATTCGGGGAGTCGTGGGACTCGCGTACACTTACACTTTTTTACTCTAGCCGCGACGAACGAACTTTCGTTCACAGCATCAAGTTGCTCGACGTCACCACGTCATCAGAACATCGGACGCCTTACGACAGCGTCCCCAAATGGATCCCACCCAGCCTTCCGGGAAC